TTACTGCTAGGTGACAGGAGCATAGGGTGAAAGAAACTCTGCCCATTGTTTTCTCGCCGGCGCCCGGGATCGAAACCAGGACCACAGGATCACAAGTCCAGCGTGCTGTCCTCTCGGCCGACCGGCTCCCTAGTTAAAATATATTAAGTTATACCGGCTCCCTAGTTACCGGCTCCCTAGTTAAATATATATCCTAGTTAAGATATATTCCACAGTACTAAAGTTGCGACCGTAGAACACGTTCCCACTCAGCCACGTAAAGGCATGAGGGGGGGGGGGGGGGATGGGAAGAGGTTACAGCTATGTTTACTTCCAACAAATAAACAAAGCCCGTTTAAGGCGGAAATCTTAGCAGGCAATAATCGTAGAGAACCACGGCTCCTCTTTCCCCGCAGACTTTAACCAACACTAAAAACGCTTAAAAACACTGGGAATAAACCCACAATTCCCAGACCCCATGTTCAGTTAGCGAGAATGTTCTGTCATAAAATATATCATACAACGTTAGCCATGTTGCACTCTTCTTCACCAGAAACTTACACACACGCGCGCACACACACACACACACACACACACACACACACACACACACACACACACACACACACACACACACTCACACACACACACACACACACACACACACACAACGAATGAGATGATCCCCCAGGACTACACTGTAATAAAGAAAGAGAGGGAGGGTAGGGGAGGAGGCGGAGTCTCCCTACTCATGAAAAAGGAATGGAGTTTCAAGGAGATGGTTTTCCCAGTCTACGAAGGGTTTAGAGACTACAAAGCAGGCACCATGACGATGGGAGGACCAAGATTAGTAGTAGCAGTGATATATATCCCTCCAACAAACGACAGAAGACCCAGGCAAGAGTATAGCAGAAACAACATTGCAGTTAACAATATAACTGAGAGGGCAGCCTCTGCTGCCTGTAGAATTCTATCCCATCTGCTCTTCATGGAGGACTTCAATCACGGAAGGATAGACTGGGAGAACGAAGCAACGCATGCAGGAGAGGAAACATGGAAAGCTAAACTACTGGAGGTTGCAACAAAAAACTTTTTAAGCCAGCGTGTCAGGGAACCCACAAGAATGAGGGGCAACGATGAACCAGCGAGACTCGACCTAGTCTTCACTCTGAATGACTCCGACATAAGGGAAATTGACTTCGAGGCCCCAAGTAGGAATGAGCGATCACAGTGTACTGACTTTTGAGTATCTTGTCGAAGAAGGGTTAAAGTACTCGAGGAAAGGAACTGAAAACAAGAAGCTGGCATTCCGTAAGGGAAACTATGAGGAGATAAGAAAAATTCCTAACGGATATAACATAGGAAACAGAGCTCAGGGGAAACACGGCCCAAGACATGATGGAATACATCACGCGGAAGTGTAAAGAGACAACAGATAAGTTTATCCCGGACCAAAAGGAAACAAATGACATGCAGATGAAAAACCCATGGTTTAATCAGAGATGTAAGCTAGCTAAGCAACTTAGCAAAAGAGTGTGGAGAAACTATAGAAATAAGAGGACACTTGAGAGCAGAGAAGGATACCAGAGAGCCAGGAATGAATACGTCAGGGTGAGAAGAGAGGCAGAAGGGCAATATAAAAACGACATAGCAAACAAGGCAAAGACCCAACCCAAATTGCTGCACAGCCACATCAGGAGAAAGAGAACAGTGAAGGAACAGGTAATGAAACTAAGGATAGGGGCAGACAGATTCACTACAAACGACAAAGAAGTGTACGAGGAACTCAGTAATAAATTCCAGGAAGTGTTTACATTAGAACAAGGAGAAGTTCCAGAGATAAGAGAAGGAATAGTTAAACAGGTACCATTACAGGAGTTTGAGGTTACCAGTGGGGATGTAAGGAAGCTTTTGCTAGAGTTGGATGTGACAAAGGCCAACTCTATGCCCGGATGGAATATCGTCATGGATACTAAAGGAGCAGAAGCACTGTGCCTGCCACTCACCATGGTGTATAACAAATCACTGATAACAGGTGAACTGCCAAAAATTTCGAAGACGGCAAACGTAGTCCCGATATACAAGAAGGGGGATATACAGGAGGCATTGAACTACAGGCCAGTGTCCCTAACTTGCATTCCATGCAAGCTAATGGGGAGTATTGGGCGAAAAAAAGCTAGTGGAACATCTGGAGCGAAGGAACTTTGTGACACAACACCTACATGGTTTCAGGGATGGCACGTCATTCCTCACAGGATTAATTGAATTCTACGATCAGGCAACAAGAATCAGGCAAGAGAGGGGTGGGCAGACTGCATATTTTTGGATTGCCAGAAAGCCTTTGACAGAGTACCACACCAGAAACTAGTGCGAAAGCTGGAGATGCAGGCAGGAGTGAAAGGGAAGGTACTCCATTGGATAAAGGAGTACCTAAGTAACAGAAAACAGCGTGTCACTGTGAGGGGTGAAGCCTCAGATTGGCGAGGCGTCACCAATGGAGTCCCGCAGGGTTCAGTCCTTGGACCTATACTGTTTCTGATATATGTAAATGATCTACCAGAGGGTATAGAATCGTTCCTCTCATTGTTTGCTGACGATGAGAAAATTATGAGGAGGATTAAGACGGAGGAAGATAGTATGAGGCTACAAGATGACCTAAACAGACTGAATAAATGGTCCAACAAATGGCTACCAAAGTCCAACCCGAGTAAATGTAAGGTAATGAAACTAGGCAGTGGAAACAGGAGGCCAGACACAGGATACAGAATGGGAAATGAAGTCCTTCATGAAACGGACAGAGAGAAAGATCTAGGAGTTGATATCACACCGAACCTGTCTCCTGAAGCCCACATCAAAAGAATAACATCTGCGGCGTATGCAAGGCTGGCTAACATCAGAACAGCCTTCAGGAACCTGTGCAAGGAATTATTCAAAACTTTGTATACCACATATGTAAGATCAATCCTGGAGTATGCGGCCCCAGCATGGAGCCCGTACCTTGTCAAGCACAAGACGAAACTGGAAAAAGTCCAAAGGTATGCCACTAGGGTAGTCCCAGAACTAAGAGGCATGAGTTGCGAGGACAGGCTGCGTGAAATGCACTTCATGACACTGGAAGACAGAAGAGTAAGAGGAGACATGATCACTACCCACAAAATTATCAGAGAATTTACAGGGTAGATAAAGATAAACTGTTTAACACAGGTGGGACGCGAACAAGGGGACACAGGTGAAAACTGAGTACCAAAATGAGCCACAGGACCTTTAGAAAGAATTTTTTCAGTGTCAGAGTAGTTAACAGGTGGAATGCATCAGGCAGTGATGTGGTGGCGGCAGACTCCAAACACAGTTTCAAATGTAGATATGATAGAGCTCGAGAAGCTCAAGAGTCTGTACACCAGTAGATTTACGGTTGAGAGGCGGGACCAAAGAGCCAAAGCTCAACCCCCGCAAGCACAACTAGGTGAGTACACACAGTATGACCCGAGCACTAAGAAAGAGTCATACCGACTCCCCCCGTGCCAGCGATGAAGTATCTACCCGGGCTACTGGTTCCAGCGTTAAGGGATAAACACAATATCACATTTCACAATTGTTTGAGCATTAAATATTTTCAGTTTGGTGCGTGCGTGTTGAGTCTGACGTTGGAAATTGTTCAGTATTCAGTATTTTATTTGTCATCGAATATTACAGTTTACAACATAACAATGCTACCTGCTGGATGGGGCATTGTAAACACAATTGTGTTTACAATTATTATTATTATTATTATTATTATTATTATTATTATTATTATTATTATTATTATTATTATTATTATTATTATTATTGATGTGTTTATTAGATATTATTCTTATTGCTTTTGTTAATTATTTTTGTATCGCTATTATTGTACTAATTTTATTAGTTATTAAGCCTCAGTTGATAGCGCTAGTAATACTTACAATTAGTATTATAAAAGTAATCTTCAGTGCCGTAATTGGAGAGCGATATAAAAGAAAAGAAAAAATATATATATATACTTTTTCAAGCAGAGCGAGCAAGTCTAAGCCCTCTGGCAATACTCTACGTTGCCAACTTGTGTTCTCCGTGTGCGAGTACCTCGACACACACTCACACACGCTCACACACACTCACACTCGCGCTACACAAACATTGCAAAGCGTAATGTCATTACCGGAATGACATGAGCCTCCTTCAGGGGGAAATGAACCGTCATTCGTTGTAATAAGATGTGTTTTTTGTTCTAAGGGGAATCTGCGCATTTTGATGCCAAGAGGTGAAAATATATTAGTCGTTGTTTCCAGTTACATTGTTAGGGACACGTACTTGAAGGTGGAGGAGTGAAGAGGCTTGTGCAGGAGGAATACAGTAGGATATAATTATTGTTTTCTTGGTGATGGTGAGAACAATAACAGCCCTGGTCATTATGGTGTCTGGTGATGGTGAGAACAATAACAGCCCTAAGGATTATTTCAAAGCGACGCCTTAGAGGCTGGAAAGTCAAAATATTGAACATATTGGCTTATTGGCTTATTTCAAAAGGCAGGCAGCCAATGGCAAGAGAGCTGAACCTTTGTCTCACGTCTGTGCGTAGTTTCACCCAGCGTTTTCAAATAGCAAACTATTACAAACGAGAAATAGCCTAATTGTTGTACGCAGGCTACTGAACCTGGACATAATTCGAGGCAGGTATGTTTTTGTTAGAAATATCTCGCTCACATAGGTGAAACAACTAATGCATCATAAGTGACTTTAGTTTTAATCAAATAAACTGGAGGAATCGGAACTGGATGAGGTTGATGAGTTCCGCTGATGGTTTTATAACAATTTATAATTTATGTAGCTTATAAAAACAAACATTATTTGACAACGCTTTAGGGAAGCGAGGCATAAGCGTGTGATATTTTGGCTGGTCGTAAATAATGAGGTTAATGGTCAAGACGAAAGGGGAGGGGAGGGGAGAAGGAGGACGAATGAGGAAGAGGGAGAGATGAGAAGAACGGGAAGAGAATACTCACGGTCTTCGGGCTTGTTGTAGACGTTGAGGAGCTGGGCGATGCAGAAGGGCGCCCAGCAGATGGTGAAGGCAAAAACGATGGTGAAGGTCATGCGGACCGTCTTCATTTTAGCGGCCGAGACCTTGTCGACGGCCAGGGAGGCCGAGGCGGGGCGGACGAGGTGGGTGTCTCTCCTGGGGATGGGCTCCAGCTCCAGGCCCGTGTCCCTGGCCCCGCCTCGCAGGTACCGGAAACAGCGGCACCGACGGCCGAAGGCGGCCAGAGGCCAGGGGGTGCCGGCGCTACGCCACACCGCCCAGCAGATATAGCTGTAGCAGAGGGCGATGATGGCCAGGGGCACCAGGAACACGGACACCACGAACCACGTCACGTACATGCGCTCGGTCACCAGCTCGAACACCACCCAGCAGTCGTGGACCCCGGGTTTGACCTCCCTCACGGCGAAGAGCAGCGTCTGGGGCGTGGCCAGGATCAGCCCCAGCACCCACGCCCCGCCCACCATCAGCTTCGCTGCCCTCAGGGACCCCCGCCCGCTCCCCTGCACGGCACAGGCTCGGTCCACCGCCATGAAGACCAGCATGTACGTCGACACGTACAGCACGAACACCTGGGCGTACTTGACGAAGCGGCAGAGCAGGTCGGAGCCCTTGAAGCGGTAGGTGATCTCCCAGATAAGCTGCGGCAGGATGTTGAGGAGGGCGACGAGCAGGTCGGCCAAGCTGAGGTGCAGCATGAAGACGTAGCAGCGCGACATGGGCTGGAACAGCGAGTGGCGATACAAGGCGATCAGCACGAACACGTTGCCGATCATGGCGACGATCAGGATCAGCACCAGCACCACGATCTCCACCACCGCCAGGGCCGTGTTGCGGTAGTCCTGGCCCGGGCCGCTCGCCGTGGGCCCCGTGGGAAGGTAGTCCACCACGAAGCGGTTCAGGTCGTCGTGGAGTGTGGAGTCGTTGAGGCCGAGCTGCGGCCCCGGGTCGTCCATCGTGCCGGGCGGAGCGCCTCACCCACGCTGGGCCGAGCCTCTAACACTGGCCATCATGATGTGCTCCTGCACTCACGGCTTCACTCTGGGCCATGGCGTATAGCGCCACTTCACTCGCTGCTACTCTGGGGGAGAAATCCAGTAGGACATTAATCACTCAACCACTCAATTACACATAACAATATTTACCACTAGTTAACAGTTAATGTATTAGATAAGTAAGACATAAAAAGTACCAGATACAATTCATTCAACAGCATTTTATAAGTAACTGTATTTTATAACCCTCCCTCAACAATATACAGCAGGCACTGTAACATGATTTTATGGTACGAGAAGAGTGAGGATGGAGAACGAGCGGCCATGTTTGACGCAGCCTCGTATCCGTGTGACGTGAAATACATTATTAGTTGCGTGCATCACAGTGAAATATTATTCGCATGATAATGTTGGTTTACGAGCGAGTACACTCGTGATTTGTTGCTTTAGTTAATAAATGCTACAGGAAACCATTTTGGTGTTTGAAAAGTAACAAATATTTATGAAATGTATCTAAATCTGTGTTTGTTGTGTAGCAGAAATATATTTTGTATTATTTATCAAACTTTTCAGACAATATTTAGATTGCAATTGGAAATCTGTACTGCAATTGTGTTTAAAATAAAATATATACCTTTACAAAGATATATATAACTTTATTTTAAAATTTCAATACACAAGAAAGGGTTACAACATTGGTTACATGCAGGGTACAAGGCTACTTGTCACAAGTTGTAGAGCTCCTCAGATGGCGGGCAGGAACCATGGATGCAGTGAGCATTTCCTCTCTAGATCGCCACACTAAGGTGCTGGAAGAGAAAACTGGCGGCTCTAGGGGTCTCTAGTTGTTTCACTTAGCTTGGACCCCAGCTCCTTCAAAAACGAGCAGCACTTTTACCCCAGGCACCAAGTGTCTCTGAGGCAATGGGGACAAAATTGTAGTGGTGATTAAGGTCTCTGTATTTACGTGACTAGGCTGCTTCCCGGTGATTGGCAGCACCTTCTGCCTGTGCAGCACTGAAGGCAACATAGGTGTTGGTTAAAGTTGAAACGCAAGTGTAGTCCCACACCAACTGTCTACCATTCTTCCAGGGGTTCACCGTGATCCCGTCTGGGCGACCGACAGGCTCATCAGAGTTGAGCGGCATTAGTTAACGGGGCTCTCTCTCTGCTGGACAACCGGCCGTGGTAAGGCTTCTCTTGATAATGTCGTTAACCTCGCCGTGTCTTACATACCATCCTCCTGTCCGTTGGCAGAGAAAGCCATGCCGTCCGTACCTGTCGGCCACTGCCTCGCCGCAAATACACCTGTATTCGGTGTGGATCGGGGTGGAGAGCCACAGCATAAATGTATAGCTATATATATATATATATATATATATATATATATATATATATATATATATATATATATATATATATATATATATATGAAATGTGATTTGAATATACCTGCATATCTATTATAGTGGTAAGTATAAATTGTAAAAAAAATTACAACAGGGAAATGAAGGATAGAACTGTATATATACAACAGAGAATGTTCACTTGTCTCTGTTCGTGGTTGGAGGCCAGTTAGTTGCAGCTAGCCTCACGTGTCGGAAATTTCCGACAACATTTACTAAATTCTAATACAATATGCAGAAAATAATATTGCTGCTGATTTTCTATTAATTAAAATATTAAGTTTCTCCTTCGGAGAAACTGCATACCTGGCAATTCATTAGTAAATGAGAATTGCATAGCCACGTCAGTAAAATTACATTCACTAGCTAATAATATTGTAAATTAATCTTAAAAACAACAGTCTCTGGACGGCAAACATTGTAAAAACATTTCCCCAGGAACGAACTTAATTATCAATACTAATATAAATTAAATGTAAACCAACTTTCCACTTCTTGATATAAACGTATCTGGCGAAGACGCCGATACGGGAGGCTGGAAGAGAGTAGCCATTGTAAACAATGTGACAACACGACACATTTTACCGTTCATGAAATTGAAATTGAAATAAGTTTATTGAGGTAAAATACACACCTCATCCCTTTGTGTGTATTTTACCTCAATAAACTTATTTCAATTTCAGTTTCAATTTCATGAACGGTAAAATGTGTCGTGTTGTCATCCCGAGTATTTGTCAATAAGTTATTCTCGAAGAGTTATGCAGTGCAAATCGACACCATCGTTTCCTGGGAAGGCATAGCCTCCGTACAGTATTTGAGTTGATTAGAGCTCTCTCATTTATTAATGTGTTGTTGCGGTTATGCCCGTATAATACATAACAACCAAGGGTGAGCAAATGTAATATCATCCTTCATTTCATAATTTAATCTCTTCAGATAGAAATTGAACACGTTGTGTGTAGTAGATGTTACGGTGTAACAACTCGTTGGCAGGTAAACTGAGATGTGGAGTTTACTAATGTGGAGTGTCGCCCAGAGACATGAGACCACGTGACCGATCTTGTCCCCGCCTGCACATAAGGACGCCATGACCACGTGTCTGACTGACCTACACGCGTACTACACCGGTTCCATGATGACTGTCTGAGCCTTCAAGTCAGATGAACCTATAATTCATTCATACTAACAATCAATATTCACTAACCGTTTAAATATGCTTTAGTGAAATTAATAATGTTAACCGTTTAATTGCAGTATAACCAAACGTAATAATTATATCCTCCAATTTGTGGAAAAGGAATTTTTACTGGTGACATTAAATTAAACATACAGTCCAGCCCAAAGTTATAAATAATTAATAAATAACGTTACAATACAGTCCACTTTAAATTAATTAATGAACTAAATTAATCATTTAGATTTCCTATATAATATTATGTTCATTCGACCCTACATGATCTAGGAACGAGATCTATTATACATCAGTGCAATTAATAATTAATCAAATAAATAATCAGCCAGTCAGAACAGACGGCTAAAATTAATCAGGTGCGTAGCCTCATTAAACCTCAGTAATATCTGTGAGTGCACACAAGTTTTATTGAAATTGAAATACTTCGCAGCACTATTATTGTTCCAAACCACAAAATAGTGAAATAAGGAATTAAATTACGTGCTAAAGAAATAAATTAGGTGAGTAGAATATATCACCAAAATTTACTACTGCGTTTTCGCCGAGTTTAATCACCAAATTTGCATTATATTCGCGGAGTGCTAACGTATATATATTAAATCCAACCAAATAATGGCTGCGCTTTCACAGCGGTAATCAAATAAATGTGTGGTGTTTAATTTCGCGAAGTGTCACTAATAAATTAATAAACGTTATCAAACATTACTAGAGGTCAATGAAAGGCCACCAACACTAAATTTATGCATATATTTCTCTAAATAAGAGAAACATTTAATATAAAATAAAAATCAAATAAAAATATATTGCACCTAGTCTTATTGCACAATATTATATATTTAATTTAGTTGCCAACCCGAATGAGGGTAGGATATATTACTATTGACTAGTGTTGAACTAAATAGTGAACAGCTTTCTTATTTAATTAATGTGCAGACCTTTATTATAGGGTGGGACTAATAACAACACGAATTATATTGTACCCATAATTATACTACACATATATTATTATATATAATTTATTTATAATTATTATACCTTTGAGGTATTCCTTAATGACACTATACTTATCACTCAAATAAGTTTGTATATAATTATCAATTTAATTTGCCAATCTCCATGGAGGTAGGCTTATAGCCTTGTGAAAGGAAATCACACTAGGCTATTATTATTAACCTCCTCAAGATTTATGAGTAAATATCCCAGTTATTTCCACTTTGAAATCATGGGTTCAACAAAGCTTAACCCAGCAGCCAGCATGACTGATACAGAAACAAAATTAAAACGTACCCCTGATAAGATTTACGGGTCACTTAACTCGACAGATCAATAAATGCCACGATCTGTCATAATAATCTCCTGTTGATTATGTTCAACTGGAAACCTACTATCAAGGAGCAACAAGTCAATTTGAGCAAGTCAAACGCCAGTTAGAAAAATATCTAGCTGAACTTGCCAATCTATTTCCCCACAGATGAATTAGATGATATATTATGGCAGATCTGGCTCAATATGAGGATGATACTCAAGTCAGGTTGGATCCTTTCATCAAATTAATTGAGCAGAACAAGACAACTTCAACAGCTTCATCTAATCAGAGTCAAGCTGAAGCTCGACTTCCATCAATTAATTTACCCACGTTTTCAGGATCAGATGAGAAAGATTTGGACAAATTTTGGAACAAATTCGTGGACCTTGTAGACTCAAAACCTTCACTACCAAAAGATAGTAAATTTTCCTATATGTGTGGTCAGTTATCACGTGAAGCTAAATGAGTACTCTCCCATCTTAGGTTGACTAGCACTGGCAATGACCTCGCAGTACAACTCCTTAAGGATAATTATGCTGATCCAAAAGTAAAAACTTCCCACCAAGTTCATGACCTGTTGCATTTCCCACCTCCGGAAGCTACAACTGATTCACTCCAAGTCTTTAGGCTGGAGGGAGAATCCATGATCAAGGCCCTCAGTCTAATGAACAATTCTCACTTAGACTCGGCCTATACAACCGAGTTTAAGTGAGTCTTAAACATAATCGTCCAGGAGAAAATACGTAGGGACATACTGAGACAAATGAGTGCTCACTATAACAAAAGTATTTTATCCTTAAGTGAGATATCTGAGGGTTATTCATCAACTACGCACCCACGACAAAGACCACCAAATAAACCTTCAGAAACCAATAATAATAAACCACAGAGGACAACAAGTACTCCAAAAAAATCTAAACAAACTACTTCCACCCCAAAGTGGAACGATGGCAGTGTGGGCATGTGTGTAGTGGGACCCTCCAACCCTACAGTTACTGTGTCACCCAAGGCGGTGACTCCAAAACATGCTGAAGGCTATGAGACATGTTTGTTCTGCCAAGAAGATCATTAAATATACCACTGCACCACAATTATCCTGATCGTGATGCCCGTGTCACTATGCACGCGGTGTGCCTCAGAGCACACAACGCCAGC